CTCAGAGCTGAGAAGCAGAAGGCCAAAGAGGCAGAGGAGAAGGCAAAGCAGGAAGCAAGAGAAGAACAGCTCCGGGCCGACAAGAAGGTGGATGCAAAGGACACAGAATTGAAAGTTGACTTTCACATGCAGCAGGCCATGCACATGATGGGACAGCTTCAGAAATCACTCCAGTTCTTGGAGGATGTGGGACTGGCAGATGAGGGCGCCAAGAAAGTGAAGGCAACTCTTCAGGACATCATGGGTGAGGAGCTATCGGTGGATAGCGAAGATGATGCAATGAATCGAAAAGCAATTGAAGAGAACAAAGTCAAAGGGACTTTCAAGGACGTGAAACCTTTATTCTCCGAAGTGCCTGGCCTCAAAGCCATCCCTCGTGAAAATGATGACAACCAGGTGGCGTTGCACGAGGTTCTAGAAGAACAAAGAAAATTACGTGCAGAAATCAAAAGAGCAGCAAAAGAAAAGGCAGCAGCTGCAGGGCCCAAGAAGAGAGGTAGACCGCCTAAGGAAAAGCAGAATGATGCCAAAGAGAAGGCAGAAGAGCCAGAGAAAGCGGGAGAAGAACATCCAGGAGATGATGCCTCAATGGAGGCTGAGGTAGATGATGCAGAGCGGGCGATGAAGAATGAGCGAGAGCAAGAAGACGCCGCTGAGGATGAGCAAGATGCAAAGCGTCGCAAGGCAACGAAACAGGTTGCCAGCAAAGGCAAGCGACAGAAAGAGAATGAGACAGGCAAAGGTCCAAACACAACTACAAAAAGGAGAAGGAAGGCAACAGAAAGTGCAGCTGAAACTGAGGACCCGAAGCTCGAGGTGGCAAAGAAGGATGAGGTCCAAGCGATTCCAAAACAAAAATCCAGGAAGCCAAAGGCAGACGAGCAACCATCAGAGACGAAGGAGGTAAAGGAGGACATTAAGCCAAAGCCAAAGAAGAAAGCAGAAAAGGCGGCGCAGGAATGTGAAGAAATTGAAGAGCCGGCAAAGGAGAAGCTCGGGGTTGAAATCAATTCAACACGCTCGGGGTGGGCCACGTATGTTGAGTTCTCGCTGTAGCATGGGGTTCTCATCATTCGGGATGTCAATCTTATTGTAGAAGCTGCATTGATGAACTCTTGCTGATTCTAGTGTCCAACTAGCGATCCGAGACACTCGGTTTAAGTTTGTCTTCCTTTCAACCTCTTCTGGAAGCTTGCAACTTTCCCCTGTGGTAGCCAAGTCCCAGCCATCCATTTCTTCTTCGGAGGAAGTGAAAGGTGGACAGAAATACTATGAGGTCCAGAAGGCTGGGATTACATGCGCTGCCGTATTTAAAACCAGCATGCATATTTTGGTTGAATGAGCCGATGTATAGAATGAACGGATGACAGCGACCTTTCTTTTGCAGCGTCAATGTTCCAGTGGTTCATCATGCGTGCAATGTTTGCGAGTGTGCTCCGAGCTTCCCAATCCAAGAACTCATCTCTTACCCTGATTGGCCTCGCTCGACATGCGTTTGCTGCCAGGCCAATCGCGGGAAGAACGAAGGGATCCTTCGCACGTTGGCTGAGGACCCGTCAAACGGCTATAAGCTGCCAAAGGACAGTGCACTGAAGGGGTTTGGGCCACAGGTGTGTTTTTTATTGTGGAAGACCATTGTTCTGTCTGCAGGCATCTAAATTTGAAAATGTTTGCTAGGTCTTGGACAGGGCAACCCGACATGGATCTGGTTCCACATCAACTGCAAAGATATGCTGTTTCCATTCAGACCTTGTGGAACCCTTAGAGAATACAACCGAACACCACTGGATTGGTTTCCACGATTCCTTTGGTTTGAGGCTTGTTCGTGGCTCCTTCTATGTGTGGCCGGTCAACCCTGACATTGAGCAAGCTGTCAATGCACACTTTAAGACGAACTTCAAGGTGACTTCATTGAGCTTTCTCTTTGTTTCCTAGGTTAGGTCCCTACTGTGTCAGGTACAAGGAACAAAGTCGCAGGG